TGTATGTCCTGGCTCTTAGCTAGAAAGGTGTAACCCAACTCCTACCCAGCGGTTGTCACAAGGTGGCGTCTAGGACATGAATGCACGGCACAACGTTGGTGGCAGCGGGTCGACGATCTGTCAGGGTCTCGCCACCACAAGCGCCAGCGCTGCTCTTTCGGTTTTGCATAAAAGTTGCAACCCTTGTTTTGAATTTTCCGCTACGACCGATTCGCCCAACTTGGTTGGGAAAGTCTCTTCCTTCCACATCTTTTCCAATAGGTTTGAACCATTCCCTTTGAATGTCGGACTAATGAGAGAGTTCGAAATAGCAGATCAGAGACTCTTACCAACTGCGATCCCATTTCGAAGCGCCGCCATTGAAACCGTGTAAACTGGTCTGATGGGTTGTTGTTGTTGTTGTTGTTGTTGTTGTTGTTGTTGTTGTTGTTGTTGTTGTTGTTGTTGTTAGAGGGCACTTGAGTGCCACGGAGTATTGCTGCTAATGGCAGGTCTCTACTGTTATATACCTCCAGTTACACTATATCCTAACGGTTATTAATAGGATCAAGGATAATATGAGGAACAGAAAGTTAAGAAGTGGCAGCGATAAGCCTAACGTTTTGAATCTGTACGACACTGGACACGAGACGATGAAATAGCCATACCTGTATTCACTGTGGAATACCGCCATGTTCTTCAAACTTTGCTAAGAGAAAATTTTGATCCGGACCCAACGCATTTGACTCGAGCGCTGGACTTCGGGCCTGTAAAATTATGCCGGTTATGCAGAAGTTTGATCGATTAAATTAAAATGGGTGCTACCCTATTTCCAGCACACAATATGGAGAGCCGTGAGACTGAATTTGTCCGGCGCCATATTTCTGACCATTCTACTGGGAGTAGCTATGAAAACGCCAAAGAGTATCATCAAGTTTACCTCCAGGGGTTGGGGAGATGCGCACTCACTGCAGCAAGTTAGCGTCCATATTCGTCACGACAGCAATTCAGTGATGTGCGCCACTACACAGACTAATTTGAACTCGTCATTTGAATTGTGTGCCTGTCTTATTGATGGTTGCTAGGCTTGCTCAATCTATTGAACAAGTGTTGTGTTGCTTTTACATTTTGCCATCAATTCGGTCATCCTGTCTATGCCTCGCTTACGCCATTGAAATGTAATCCTTGGAAATGTGACATGTTATGGCTGTCTACTTTTTACTTTCCTCGCCACCTTTGTAATTAGACCACACATTTATATCTCTCTTTTGCTTCGTTTGAAATCGAGGATGTGCTAGCGACCTACTGGCAAACACAAAATACAGTCGATTTAGCTATTTTATGGCCAGGTCCAGCTCCAAATACAGTTTTGCGTGCCGAGCTATGCGCACCATTATTCCATGCGATTTCCTAGAATCTGTCCCGGGCGAAGAATCGCCCCGCTTATCTACCTCACTTTATCCTACCTGGCAGCCAACTTATTGGGAAATTTACTGCGTGTGTCCACAACTCCCATGCTGGTTTTCTTGGCACTAACCATTTGTGTTGGCGACGAGTGTGCAGCAATATTTTAATGTCTGACCCGGAGCACTGGTGACTTCACGATTATGGCATTTGAGGTCATTCACCCACCCATCTTTGACCGTCAGTGCTCGCGATGTATCGTCCGTACCTAGTGATCACCTGGCTACTGTCTAAAAGTGGCGTTGGCGTGTGTCGACTCGAGTCACTTGCATTCATCTAATTATGCTCTGTGCATGCGTGTCAGCTGTCTACTCTGGTGTGCATTACGCGTATATTCTGTGTCCGGATCGAGATTATCCCACAGCGGTCAGTCGCCAGCACAGAAAGTAATCATTAATAAAGTAACTTGAGAATTTGTCTAAATCCTAAGGAGAAAAGACTGCAGGTAAACAGTTGTTTTTAATGTTTCCATCATCATACCTGTACTCATATATATATATATATATATATATATATATATATATATATATGTATATATATAGCAACAAGCAAATTGAATGGATCAGCTCAAGTAACAAATCACGCGCAAGTCAGATTAGAGGATCAAATCGATGCCCACGTCTTAACGCGTTACTTACCTTACTGCCGCTCGGCTAATGGAGTTGGCATCAGTGTCTCCGTTTTTTCCTTTGTCTGATTAGCTACCCGTGTGAACAGTGGAGAAGAAATAGCTGTCCATGTGATAACTTTTCTTAGGGATTGTAGCCACCGAAAGGCTAACTAATTAACTTGTCCTTTCAAAAGCGCAATAAAAAGCACACTTGCAACAGAACCATCCGTTCCTACACGGAACAAGGATATGTCGATGTTGACTGCTCCCATGGTCATCTGTCAGTTCGAGTGCGTCCCTGGTGCAACATGTATCCGTTCAATGGCGCGTCACTTGTCCAACGGTGTAACTGCTCACTGTCCACGCTGACACTAAGGCTATTACCAGCTCTGTTTTATGACCCTTGACGTCACTGCTTGGCATCCAGTGAATATGAATAATGCATTTTGTATATTGCACAGTGTTTAACTGCCCCAAGCGCATGGCCTCCGCCTTCCTACACTTGTGACAGCCAACACCACCTGCAACTTGTTTTCACAAACTCATGCTACTTTGGTCAACAAAATAGGTGGGAGTTAAAGGCAACTGCCTTAGCTCGACAGTAATATGGCATGTCAAAATGTGCATTATTTGCCGTTACTTGACTCTGATCCGCACGTGATCCTTGTCATCCTAATTGGTCCACTCTTTTTCTTTTCCTCCTATGCATAGTGGTAAATGCCCGATGATAACCCATTGATCTGGCTGTCCACCTTCAGTCTCGTATTCTGAATCAGATGACAGGATGCATGTGTCGGTTTGGTGCTTGCCGCCCTCTTTCATCAGACCTTCTAAAGTGTGACACATTTAAGGAGTCTGTGGCTATTGTGTATTTAACCTCCGCCTTTCCACTTTTAGGTCCTACTATCTTTTACATCCACATCCCGTTAATTATTCGGGTCTTTCTACTCGCGCTATTATTCATGGTATATTTTGCTATTGCTGTATGTCTCATAGCAGCTTAGTCCACAGCACCGCCTTGACCAACCACCGAATTTCGCTGCTGGCTCGCATAACCGTCATCTCTGAGGATCGGTTTACATTATGCACCACCGCGTACGGTCATCTGTTTCCCTCACTGGCTTGGTATCCTCATGGCACTCCCATTATTCTGTACTATGTTTTCTACGGTTTACCAAATCATGACGAACGTATACTGGTAGTTTCATTCGGCTGACTACATCTGTGCACACATATTTGTTATGCTGGTTTGTTGGTTTCATAGAAAACTGACCAAACAAGCCTAATTATCTTGTCCTGTTTCTCCTGGTTATCATGGCTCTAAAATCCTACTATTCCTTCTTTTTGTCTTCTATGAATAAGCTAGTGTGACAGCTACACCCACCAGCTTTTGTTAGTCTGCTGTAGTGACAGGAAACGACTCGGTTTTATCGAGACCAGTTACAGTTACGAAGAAGTTTTAGTTAATTCTGGACAATGACAGAACTTCACATCTTTACTCCCATCCCGTGAGTCGCGATTCGACTGCGACCATCTTCATATGTTGCTTCTTGAATTGATGGACTCACAATTCCTGTCTCCAGGTGAACATTACTTGCGACGTGTTCGCACCAACTTCGAACCAGCATGCTTCCTCCCCACCTACTTCATCTGAACATATGACCCACCAATCTCTCATATTGAAAAGTAAAACAGTGGGTCCCCTTCAGCCATTTCGTCAGAGCAGTGAGAAGACATAAGTTGCGATATGTTAACATTTCGATTGTTCTCTTCAGTCGCAAACACAATACAAGCGGGACTAATGAACAGTTATATACAGGGGGAAAAGTTGGCACACCAATCAAAATGTAAAAATCAAGACCACGGTAACCTAATTGAATGTCTCAATAGTTTCTGTGCACACAACACAGGTTGATAAGCCCTAATTAGCAAAGCCTCGCTAATTGCCAAGATAATCGGATTGTTGTTGCGCAATAACACCTTGAACGCAGTATCCGGGTTCACCTGATGTCGGGTTGCCAAGAGATGCTTGGTGATAGATGATGCGGGACTCCTGTTGCTCCTCGGATTCACTCCGTCTTGTTGCGTCATTAGTTGCTCCAACCACCTCGGTACATGTTCAGCTACCCTCTGAGCTAACTGACGGTCAGTCCTGCCTATGTAAATGTCACCGCAACCGCAAGTGAACTGGTAAACGATGTGAGAGGCCGAACTGACTGATGAGTTGCTCTGACGGTCATGAAGAACAAGGCTTCGTGCTGTATGTATGAGTCGCAACTGAGCGGTCGCGTAGGTGCGCGTAAGGGCGGACCGGAGTTTATGTCCGATATCATTCGATACATGGTCTCCTTTGAACGGCAAGAACAAGTAAACATTCTTTTTCTCCGCGGTTAACACCGGTATTTTCTCCTTGGGAGGCCTGCTGTGGATCTGAATGAACTTCTCAGGATACCCATTTGACACCAAGGTTTTGAACAAAAAGTCTTCTTCAGCTTGCAACATTTCGGGGCTGCATATCCGTCTTGCTCTGTAGAAAAGCGTTTTCACTAGGCCATGTTTGTATGCGACCGGGGCAAAGCTGGAAAAGTGGAGGTACTGCCCGCTCCAAGTGGCCTTGCTGTTCATTAGTCCCGCTTGTATTGTGTTTGCGACTGAAGAGAACAATCGAAATGTTAACATGTCGCAACTTATGTCTTCTCACTGCTCATATTGAAAAATTTACCGCTGGCATTCCTGATCCTTATCTGTATTCCATATTATCCCTTGCTTCTTAGACTTTCTCGTTCTCTCCGCAAAGCGTTTTCTACTGCTTTTTCTGTTCACTTTAGCCTGTTTGACAGCAGCTTTGTTTCCGCTTGGACATGACTGAGTCGTCCATTGTTTTTGTAGTCAAGAGTCCTTTTGCTAATTGTTGATCCACTCCTCACACTGTTCTCTTACTTCCTAGCCATGTGGTGTGGATTATGAACTGCGAACTTATGTGGCCGACACCAGCGATGACAAGCTGCAAAAGCGGTGAGTTATCCTTTTTATGTCGAGCATTTTGTACGGATGTTTAGTGATGGTGAGATCTGTTATGCTCGATTCATCACGATGTCCCTACGAACTCACGTTTCCATTGGCTGGCTGAAACACAGCAACACTCTTCTTATTGGTTGTGTAAAATCCGGACTGTTAAAATTGATTATTCTGTGTGTTAAGTCTGTTTCCTCTGGATTGAGTACCGATACACATCCTGCTTTTTCTGTTGCCTTCTTGATACAACAAGGTCGTTTTCTTATAGCAGATGCTCATCAGTGTTGGTCAAATCATCCGCTTATTTTTCTACAACATTTTTGCATTGGCGCTTTGTACCGGTGTTTCATCGCCATGAAACCACACCGTAAGGTTACCACTTAAGGTAATTCTTCTAATGAAAATATAGTGATGTGTTGATTAGTAACCTTAGTCTCCTTGAAAAAATCATTCGGGGTCCAGTGTCCACTCTTTACACACACCTTATGGTCACGAACAGCTGACGATCTTGCACGAATATGATGTTATCGATGGAACCTCCTCGCGTTTTCACTGCTCCGTATCATGATCAAAATGGTCAATTGGGTGCATTGAGTCAATATGCGGATCCGCAAAGACAAGGCGTCTATCATGCAACTGGGAGGTTGCGGGTTCGAGCCTGCGTACGGGACCGGGCGACCGTCGCACTATCCTTAGCCCACGCGCGAATGGTTTTTGCGCCGCAGCGAAGCGGCGGTACAGCGTACTGCGAATTCCTTTTTTGAGTAACTAAAACCACAAGAACCGGACTTTTGTTGTCACACTGAAAATGGGACCTGGTAACATATATCTAGAATCATTTGACCTTATGTGTGCCATTACTTCTCAAATGATTCCGCGTAACTTATCTACAGTGTGCTCGGATCGTAGGGTCCTTATTTTGAAGAGTCAGCCTAATTTGGTTATACCTAAATATCCCTTTTCTTCCTCTGACTGGTACTAATTTCCCGGGAGCCCCCCATTCATTCACTATCTATACAGTGCATAGGCTACATCTTGTCTGAATTGAACAATGTCCACTCCAGCTCGTTCACAAACTTGGTCATCGTCAGCTGTAGGCTGCCGCTGCGTCATGCCTACACTGTCTTATGTCGTTCACTACGTAAATGATAGATGGTCACCTTTCAGAGGAGCGGTTAATGGACTCACATTGGCGAGGTTTCTTAGATCGATGAGTGTTTACCCTCAGAGAAAATCCACCGTTACCACATCTTCTCTGCTATCCTTCATTCCGCCTGAGCAGTTTGCTCCTTCACTACCCACGTCGGATAGTTCACTTTATTCTGTCCGACCTCTTCATATTCCCTCGCTATCTTCTTATCGGCTAACATACTTTTCATAGCGGCGGTGGTCTTCGTAGGAAACTGACGGTCCGTTTAAGTGTTTTTACCAGAAGTGCTAATTTACTTGTCATGGATTGCTCATTTGCGACATTAACGGTACAACCCACAAGGAGCGCTTGCTGCTGGATCTATCGATCATGACTGTGACCCCTGAATAGTCGATGAACCGGTGTTTCGGATCATCTAATCGCTTTGCGCAATTTCTCATTGACCATTTCTCCGAACTTGTTGGCTTCAGCCAATGGCTGCTCTATTCATGCTCATTTCGACACACTCCAACGGAGTGCGCAAGCATTGTACCACATCGTGCTCAAGCGCGTAAACTTGCACATTCCCGGCCCCCCTCCTGACGACTTGTTCAGCTTTGGACGGGTTTTGCTCCCCTACTCGAATTATGCTATCATCCAACTCGCGACCCACTACATTATTAAGCCTAAGGCACTGAAATTCTATCGAATGGTAGCCTATGGATTTATCTTTCTCGAAAGTATCACCGTATGGTACATTTCATCATCACTAAACTGTTCCTGTATGTTGTCTTGCGTCTCCCATTATCCGAAGGCACATTCCTCGCGACATACTCTGCACTTATTGTTGACATACTAGTTATCCGTCTTTTTTGTTTGCGACCACAGGGCAGCTGTCATCACTGACTAGCAACACTGCCCAGCCAAGTAGTAGTCAGTGACGCTTCTGCATTCACTTTACTCTATCAGTTATATCGTTTTCTTTCAATCTTTCTAATCGACGTTCCTGTTCTATCCCAGTTATATTGCTTTCTCCTAAGGTGCTTCATTCCCATCTCACTCCGGCATCGCAGTCAACATTTCTGTCAACGTTTCTGTACTCGTAGACTCGACTTGCGCATTTCAGCATACTTTGAACTCTTAAAGGCTTAGCGACTTACTGTTATCACATCACTTCTTTGCAAAGTGGATCACGCATATTTTGAACTGCATTCACTCAATGCTTCATTTGCTACCGATTTTTGCTCCACCTGTAAGCTAGTCCCTGTTCTGTCTATCTGAAGCTTCCGGAAGATTTCTACCTATCTATATTTGATTTTTTAGGTAGCACGGTCCCCTCTAAACTTTTCCCCCCTAATTTGATGTATACCTGTTTCACAGGTGCTTCGCATTGTAGCCCTCCTTTTCCGAGAATCAACCGTTATCAACCTGTGTGTTGTGTGTGTGCACTTATTGTGACGAATTCTTTTGATGACTATCCATACTGTATCATCGATTTTTGTTTAGCCACGCTGGTTTGCATGACCCATGTCTGTACTTGGATATTCCGATTAGAGTTTCCCATAGCTGCGAGTTACTCGGCCCACCCAACACCCCTTAATCGGTCGTGTTTCCCTCATTTACCGTTCATTTAGCCTACCTGATTGTTACATTAGGCTATTGTACTTTGTTTTATCACGTGCCACACACTGTCTGGTCGGAACCACCCTTGCGCTGTCGCTCTTTACCAACACTTGCGTGTACTCGGTTGTCTTCCTTTCAGCACAGCATACGCATGCGGTCCGATAACACGTTCTCGAGGTTATCAACATCTACCTGACAGGTCCCCATGTGATATTTTGCTACTTTTGCTCCGCCAAACTGCATTCCGTTTGTGCTGTTCAACTTGGGTATTGTTTCTAAACTTTTCATCATCCTACATTTTGTAACCGGTGTTTTCCTTTGACTCTGCATCGGTGTGTCCCCTCCTCTAAACAGTCCACTTTTTGCTATACCATCAAACCCATCTGATTTTCAACATTATCGTTAGTACTGGAGTTCAAAAGAGTTGTAATTTTGCCGTCTCAGTACGTTCGGATGATATCGTTTGGTGGTTAATTGTATCCGTTTTTCTCTCTATTTAGTGAGTCAACCGAATCATAACTCGGACAGTTGTCATGATCCCTCCACACTCACGAGCATCGAAATACCCGTATTAGGTTCTGCATTTATCCGGCCTCTGGTCTTTCTTACTATATAATTCTGTTGTCGCGCACTTCATCTCAGGGTAACCACCTTCGACAGCGTCATTACAAGACTACGGCTTGAGTTAAGCTCAAGACGCATTGGGTCAACCACTGAATTCATATTTCGGAAGCGCTTTACTTATCCCCACCTGGACCACAAAAGTAAAATGATCGAATTCGTCATTTTTTGGAATCTTTGCTCCGATTTTCACCCTTGATTTATCGTCGTAGCCGGCCGCATGTCTCATTAGTGCGCCGGCAATTCCCCATGTGTATTGATCAAATGGATCTACTTTCCTATAGTATCGCGCTAACAACCATGTCAGGGTGTCTTACAGAAATCGAATGCCTTTCGTAGTCATCATCATCATCATCATTATACATGTCAGCTAGAGATGGTAAAACACCTCCGCTATTGTACCGCAATACATAAAGGAAATACATACATACATACAATACATAAAGGAAAAATAAATACGACAGTTGAATGCCAGCTGAGCTACCAGCAACGGATAGGCATCGTTCCGGTAAGCTACTAGCCGGCTACTAGGCAAAAACAAAAATTTAATTACGTTTTACCCTATGAGATAAGATCGTAGATGGAGGGGGAGGCTAAAGGGATGGGGAGGGACAAAGAAACTCACAGCAGGAACGCCACTGAGGTCGGCTCCTTGCCATATCAGCAAGTGTATCCAGCCAAACGTGTTCACCGTCTTTTGGACCCCAACCAGGGAGCCGTGAAGCTCCAACTGAGGCCAGCTCCGAAGTGAGGGCCTTCATTCCTCTGGACCAAGTCATCGCTTGGCCACCTCTCCTCTTCTTCCACCCACATCCCCGGTGAGCAAACAACGCACGTCGAGGGAGTCGGTGGGCTGGCATGCGCAACACGTGGCCCAGCCATCGGAGCCTGGTGAGTGAAATGACGGTGCTGAGCGGTTCACTCCCTTTTCCTAGGCCGTAAACAAGGCGTCGAACACGCTCGTTACTCACGCGGTGTTCCCACCAGATGTGAGCCAAACTGCGAAGGCACCGATGGTCGAACGTAAGTAGCCTCTTCAAGTCCGCCGATCTTAGGGGCCAGGTTTCGCAACCGTACAGTAAGGTCGAACGTACCGCTGCATTGTACACTCTACCCTTCAGGGCGAGAGTAATGTCGCGCCGTCGCCATAGGTGGCGAAGGTTAGCAAAAGCACTTCGAGCTTTCGCTATGCGGTTCGTGATCTCGTCTTCGATCCCAAGGGCGCTGATACAACTTCCCAGGTAATTGAATTTCTGAACGACTTCTAGCTGATCCCCACCAAGGGTCAGCACAGGGGGCGAACCCTGCCAATCCTGGAGGAACGCTTTGCACTTCGGTGGTGCAAAGCAAAGCCCGAAGCGACTGACAGCCAATGCTAATCTGTCCAGCGCGGCTTGACACGTCTGGGAGCTGTCACAGATGAGGGCAATGTCGTCTGCATACTCTAAGTCAAGAAGTCGTTCTCCTGGGAGTAGCTCCACACCTTCCAAGTCATGTCCTGTAAATGCAATCTCCATGACTTCGTCAATTGCGAAGTTGAATAGGAAAGGTGACAGCGGGCATCCTTGTCTCACACCGCTGGAGATATTGAAGGGTGGCGACAGCCTGCTGTAAGCCCTTACTCTGC